TAGGAACCAGGTAGATTTAATCGATGTTAGAGGCACTAGAATTTTTTTTCGTAAAACTTTTCGTATTGCGTTTCTTATGTGACCTACTGTATATAGTAAAATTTCGCAAGGCGCATTTTTGTTAGAACTCAAAGTAATTTCATAGGCAAAAATTTCGAGGTACAGTTGAACTTAGATATAACGAACCTTGATATAGCGAACACATAGTGGATTCGAAATTTATTTTCAGCTTTTTGTATTAAATAAGCCTTGATATAATGTCATTATTAATAAAATCTTAATATAACGAACTTTGAAAAATTTTGGATTAATGGCTCAACTCCTTCGTTATATCGAACAAGCAATTTTTCAAAAATTTTTTTCCAACACAGGGATCTTGCGATTTGATTGGTTTACTCCCAAAATTTATAGATTCACGTCACGTGGCGTGAAGCTTTGCTGATTTTTTTTCATGTCATCTCGACAACAGAAATCAAGAATACATTGTAGTCGAGCATTTCCGTTATCAAATATCAATCAAATATCTCACTATCTTTTTTATTAATGAACCAAAAAAGTTTTTTGAAACCCATTCTTTTTCGATATATACCGTAATTTGCCGCATCAATTACTCAGGGCCTGCTATATTTTACCAGAAAATTTAATTAATGAAAAAGGGAGGGTTTGAATGCATATAATTCATTTATAAAGAGATAATAATAATGCTTATCAAATTCTTTTTGACTTATTATGCCTTGAATTATTGGATTTGCTTACTTTCATTTTCGGAAGATAAAATTCGTCGAAAGATATTCGTGGCGTTTTGGATAATCAATTCCGTTGGTGTCTTTGCTTACTTTCATTTTCGGAAGATAACATTCGTCGAAAAATATTCGTGGAGTTTTGGATAATCAATTCCGTTGGTGTCTTTACTTTTCGTGACAGAAGCCCAAAGGTGTCAATAGAGTCTCCATTTTTAATGTTGTTTTATTGTCGAAAGAAATTAAGTCTAAGCGTTTTATTGAAATATTCTGCCTATTGACACTAATCCGACGTTTCATGTTAAATGCGTGTATATTTACGATACAGTTGAACTGTTAAATTCGATGACTGTTAAGTCATTATAAACAAAATGATTTATAAATTAATAACTTTTCCAATTTCAAGGTTTAGATTTGCAATCTTGTTCGCTATTAAATAATAAGTTATCTTAATGTTGAGTGCGCATTTCACCATCTCACTTTTAATGTATAATTTCAACAAATTGAATAGAAAAGACAAAAAACTAAATTACGATATTATTTATAAGAATCGAATTGCTTCTTTAATTTCTTGCTTTTCGTGTCGTGTAAATAAATAACCACAAGCCTTATATGACATTTAATTTAGGGTTACTTGAGACTTTAGAGGACAGAATTGCTATAACAACAAATTAATAGCTTATTAGACAAAAGTAAGTGAATCCATTCATCTATTAGTAATAAACATATTATAACGAAATCGGAAAAAAATTTTAATTTGTTACAAACATTTAAAATTTTTACGGATAGGTAAGGTTTATTTCATGAAATTCTATGTTATATTAATGAGAATGCGTTTTTTAAGCTTAAGGTCAGAGAGCTGTATTTGAGCTACAATCACTACGGTCACGAACTTATCCACTTAGCACCTAGCACACCGCCATTCCCTTGCATAATCTTGAGAGTGATGCTGACATAATCATCTTTAATGAAAAAAAATTCTATGACTCATTTATGTTATTCAATTCTAAGCTCGTTCAATACGTTACAACAAAATTGTAGTATTTTGATATCTTATTCTAATTTAATAATATCACACTAAAGAAAATGTATTTTAAATGCTGGCTCCTGCGATTTAAATCGCCACAAAACACTATCATTTCGAGTAAATTGAGGTTTGGATTTTTCGATCGCGATTTGTAAAGGAAGATTGCTAGGTGGATTCATTAATCCAACATGAATTTCTATGAGTAAAAGTAAAATAGTCTTTTGGGAAGACTTTAGAAGGAAAAAACCTAAAATATTCAAAAATTATTCTGCATAAAAATCATGATGTAATCAAAAATATCAGTAACCTTTTTGTTTATTTTATATGTATTAAATAATTTAAAATGTTTTATCAAAAAAGTTACGTTTTGTTCTCTCGACGTAATACACATCAGTCGTTAACTAATGACTTGAACAACCGACGCAACAATAACCATCGATTGAATTAATTAGTATATGAAATCGGAAATTTTGTGCCATTCTATAAACTAATTTAGAATTGTGGGATATTTAAATTTGGGGAACTGATTACTAAAACTAACTACATGTACATGTATTGATTAGCATTACAATTATGATATTTTAAACTTTAATGAAAACCACCCATATTTTCTATATACAATTAACTGTAATGATTATTATATCTTTTATCACTTACATTCTCCCTTTCTCTTGTCCCAATAATAAATAATTGTTTATCAAAATATTAAAGAGAAGGAGAAAACGAGAACGATCATAATAATTAAAGGGTTAAGTAAAAATACCTTCTCTAAGAAATATCAACAGCTACTAATATCACGATTCTTTTTTAGTCAATCGATGCAATTTCTCCCGATTACAATAATTTTCGACACATCAGCTTCTGTGTGTAAAAAGAGTTTCATTGACCAACTTTGCCAAGCGGGCAAAATTTGGCGTATATATATATATGTTTTATTGTATTTTCTTCAAGCATTATTGTTAAAGCTTTTTGTATTTTTTATCTATTATATTTTTTTAAGAGGCTGAAATGGCGCGTACCCAATAACCAAATTCTAAATGACATTTTTTATTTTCAGGCAAGTATATCGCGCCCTACATGCACGTCTGGTTTAGACTTCTGAAAGTTAATTTTACAATGATGACAAAGTAACAAACGCCAACTTTATAATATTATCGCTGCTATTATGTAATTTTCGAAATTATTTTAAAAGATTAACAATGCATACATGACGTGCTCAATTATTTGTACACATGGGGTTCATTGGTTGTCATAATATTAGAGTATCGATTTAACAAAATTTAAGTATAATATCAAATATCCCCTGCATAAATCCTCTTATTCTTAATAAAGTTACGGCGCACTTGCATTTTCAAACAACAATATAGTCGAATGAAAGGTTATTCGTTCGTTAAATTTGGGGTTTTGATTTTTTTCGGAGAAACAGAAAATTAGGAAGCTTATCACACACAATACAATGTTTCCCATGGATCATCTTCCCAAAAAGATCAGTTCATTGTTGATATTGATTGTCAAAACCTGTTTCTTTTTTGATTGACAACTTCATCATTCGTCTCGATTTTTTCTGCTAAACTCAATCTGGCAATAAAATTCGCCTTTATGAAAAGAATATGATTGCCGTATTACGTAAAATAATGATGTTTTTCAATTCAATTCTTATTCTTCAAAAGAAGGCAGAATTAAATAAAATTAAATAAATTCGTTAATGTTGTATGCGGATACGGGATACGTATATGGAACGGAATAAGGGTACGAAAGATTCTAATTCCACAATAAAATGGATTCCCACTTACAACATATGTATGCATAAATCTGGTATTTCATATATATCGAGATGCATATAAATTAGAAATAGTTTTGTGAGAAGTTTTCTTTGGCTTTGCTGCAGTTTTATTTTGCGAACAATTTATGCAATCTCTCCTTGCATGTTATAATTTATCTATTATACGCGTTCATGATATTAATTTCTGTTCACGAATTAAGAATTTTGCGCCCAATTTTTTGCAGGTATCGGATATGGATTGCTTAAGCAAAGTGATCCTATGCATAATGGGGGATAACTTGATTTTGAGTAAATGAAAAAAAAAGAGAAAGAATTGCGCAACACTTGAAAAAATTGAGTGGGAGAAGGCAGAATCGGTTACTAATCAAAGGAAGGATAAATTTTGCGAGCAGTGCATTTATTTATTGATTATTCACAAAGAAATGCCTACTTTGGGATTTTCAAACAAACTTTGAGTTTATTGCGCAAATATTTGGTGAAAATCTACGCATAAAACGTGATGTAGGATGGTTCACGTCCAATTATAACTTAGAGAATACTTCCTAAATTGTAATTCATTTATGCAAATATAAAATTCTTGTTTAATGCGGAATATCAGCGTAAAAGACACATTATAAATAGCATCACCATATAAAATACTGAGCATTCGTTTCATAATCAGGTAAAGCATTATTGTTTGTGTTTTCGTTGAATCGTTGAGGGATTTTCAATACATTATTTTTTTTATTGTTGTTCTCTTGTTCATTATATTTTGTTAAATCCGAATATGTATGTGATTACATGTAATAAAGAATTAATTATTGATGGGATAACTGTGATAACAAAAAAATGTCTCAGCAAGAGTTTCTATTTATATTTTGTTTCTTTTTCTCCACATAATAAATCAAAAAAATAATATATCCTGGCATTATTTTGATTAACATCAAAAAACAAACAAATAGATAAATATTTTTATCAAATTTCTTTTTCCCACCGACTTTGCCTTGTTTTATTCCCATGAAAGACATCATAACGATAGTTGTTTATTTGTTACGACCCACATGGTAATAAAATTTAATCATATAGATATGTGTTACTTCGGCCAGAGATTTTCAACACAACGGATGCCAAATAGCATGTTTATGCATTGTCTAACCCAAACTTTATTGTAACCACATGGTCATACGAAATTATCGTCTTGCAAATATTTGAAAAAGACTTTTATATTATTCAATTCAAATCTCCAATCAAACCTGAACTCAGCTTAAATCGTGTTTATATCCTCTGGTTGTATGTTGAATATATTTCTCTCTCAATGAATGCTAGTGCACAGAATTTAAAAAACATAACAATTTCATTGGTTATCATTATGTATAATTGCATAATCTCCAGCTCGCGTGCAAATCCATTCCATTGTTGAATAAAGTAATTGAACTTTAGAAAGTGGATCAAATTTAATTTGCGAGAAATAATGGCAGACATCGAACGAATTCGAGGTCTAATACGTGCCATCCCGGATTTCCCAAAACCGGGTATAATCTTTCAAGACATTTTCCCAATATTTCAAGACCCAATTGCCGTCGAATCTTTGATAACACATTTAGTGTATCATATCACCTCAACCATCAACGAAAAGATTGATGTGGTAATTGGTTAGTGACTAAAAATTATTATTAATCAACTCAATTGTCCGAATATTTTTTCGCCCTTAATTCGTGGTCCGATAAAATTAATTACAATATGTCTTTGACCTAATGAAGGTCTTGATGCACGTGGATTTCTGTTGGGACCCGTTATCGCGTTACGATTAGGTGCAGCTTTTGCGCCGATTCGAAAGAAGGGAAAGTTGCCAGGGGAGATAGTTAGCGTAGAGTACGCCAAAGAATATGGTGTGGTAAATATCACCAGCCTAAAATTTTGCATTCATACACACTTTGACTGATATTTTGATTTCACCTATAGGATACTTTCGAAATGGAAAAAGATGCGATGAAGCCTGGACAGAATGTGATTGTGATAGATGACTTGATTGCCACTGGTATTTTTTAACGATGATAAATGTGATTTTTCAAGCTTAAACTCTTTTGTGATTTAAATTTTTATACAATCCAAAAGGAGGAAGTGCTGCCGCAGCAGGAATTCTTGTTAATTCCTTCGGCGCCAAAGTGTTGAAATATTTGTTTGTAATCGAGTTGATTGAATTGAAAGGGGCTGATGTCTTGAATGCTCCATTATATTCGGTCTTAAAGTATTAAGGAATTATATTTATCATTCCTTGATTTTTATTTATTTTCTAATAACTTTGAATTATAATAATAAACGATACAATAATAGTATAAATCTATTTCTAAATTTTCATTATTTTCCATCTGCATTAAGCCGAATGTTATGTATTATATGTCCATTTATGGTTAATCTTGCATCGTGTTCTCCCTCCTTTTTGACAAAGGTCGGACTATCGAGTGGCTTCGGCAAAATAGTAACATATACTGCGTTTGATTTATTATTCTCGTTAATTAAGAGATGCTCGCGTTTAGAGCTAGTAGTATTAATAGAATGTGAAATTAGCTTTTCCAATTGAAGACCCGTCTCAAAGGTTACCAAAACACATGGTATTCGGATGTCCAATGCACCGACTTCTGAAGGAAGTGCAGGTTGGAATAAATGATTGTCATCGCTTACGACAATGACTGCTCGTGCACCTGCATTTTGCCCATACAACACTTTCTCCACAAAAGTACATCCACCTCGCTTCACCATCAATAGTTGATTACGAATTATATCTTGTTCTTCAGCCGAGAAGACACTACAACCGAAAGGAGATGAGGCTATATGAACCAAGTTAGAAACGGGCAATCTTCTTGTGACTCTCTGGCCAAAAGTGGCTGATGCTGCCAGGAAATCTTGATAATTAAAGGAATTGTTCCCATCCATTACCCTTATAATCGAAATATCATAGGTTTGTTGCTTTATCCAAAAATTGCTTACTGCAGGATCTCGAATCTCCAGGATTTGTCCGGGAAATATTCTGTTGAAGTAGAGGGAGTCGAATAAAATGCATTAACATTGTAATAAAAGGTTTTTATGTTAATATTTCATTTGAGAACTCTCTCAATCTGAGGATTGAAACTTATTTTAAGAGAAAAAAGTAGGTGGAGGTCATACCTGTAATCATCTACTAAATAAAAAGAAAAAAAATATAAAAATATATTCATTGAAAAAGTGCATATATCTTTTAAAAAATAAATACCTCTAGTTGCCTCATAACCTTTCCGATCTGCCTTTCTAGTCAATTCTAACTTCAAGCCATGAAGGTTGTCTACTACTATTCCATCGAGGAATTTGTGAATTTGTTGTGATCGTTGCTTGTCGGAAACTGATTCGCCGAAACTAATTTCTATTACTGGTGGGTCTGTTTGTGGCACTTCACAATATCCATGCGAGTACAATTCAGGTAGTATATTTTCTTCGTAACCCACGAGTTCCTTGGCATAATCCACATCAGGACGAGCGGAAACTGAATTTAGAAGATGACGAGGAGCTTGATATGCTGGACACACTGAAGCATCGATCCCTCGCAATTTTCGATGAAATAAAGAAGTCAGCCTTAGATATTTTCGAGGTAAAGGTAATATATGGGCTTCTATAAAATAGAAATAATTATGTTTGGAAATTGTAATATTAAAATTTAATAGTCTAACAATTAATAAGATCTTGCCTGTAGTGAATACAAAGTTGCTTTCGAGCTTGTTGAATAAATTATCTAAAGTTATGCTAAAATTTTAGTTCTCTATTTACTTCACACAGCACACGAAAAAAAAACAATTAAATTACCTGTATCAAAAAGCAAATATAAATATTTAAAAGTTTCGCTTAACGCAAAACTTTCCATTCTCTCATCAGTTTTTTTCGTGAGCACATCTTGTAGATTAGCGAAACCACATGAAACACGTGTATATTTTTGCAAGTCTTTAAGAACCATTTCGCCTACTTCTAGATAAAAAGGATCACGAGTTGCCTAACACCAAATAATTATTTAATTTATGAATTTTTCTCAACAAAAAACAAGAAATTTTTGACTTACTCGATAAAGGAAGTATGTAGATTCAATAAATTCAGGCCTTAAAGGATATGCTCCAATTTCAACATTTTTCAACTGGAAATTAAAGCGTTCTGGCAAAGCATTGTATTTGCGCCATAAATTATAATAAAGTAAATGTGACCTAATCGCATTTTCCAAATCGCCTGCCAAAACCTGTATAGCCAAAATACAAAGACAAAAAAAAATAAAGTATTTTTTCCAACTAAAAAAATTAGTTAACAAAAATTCTCAAATATTTCAAGAAAATTCGCAAATTTCACCTGCAAACCTGGGAAATAAGCCGACAAACTGTCCACCCAGGATGACATCATCCCACCATTGAAAATATTAACGTTCCTATAAAGGTAACCACTTTCATCACGTATATATCGCAATATAGCGGAATAGGCTTGTGAGAATACATCAAGATATTCTGATTCACCAAAAAGCACGTAGGCCTTTAGTAAGTACTCAAAAAAGGAATCAATTCCAGCTCCAGTACTCGATGCCGTGTGAATCCATTGCCCTGTTTGAATGTTAATGACATTGCCTAGAAGATCTAAATCTGTCCTCCTGTTCCACAGACCAAACAGTGAAGCTCGGGCAGCATTCTTTAATAATGAAAGTGAATTATAAGAGATTTATTTACAAAACAATATGCAGCATTTAATTAAGTAGATTAATGCTAACCTCAAATCGTGGATCATTAGTTAACCTACTTAATACTCCAAATTCTAATATTAAAGTTCCAGCACCAGCTGTACAAGTCTCATGTATTTCGTCTTGAGGAACACCATACTTTAAATTCACCTAAAATCATAAAAATTCATTTTTAATATTTCTCCAATTATTTGAAAAATAAATATTTAAATTTTTACTCTTGGAAACGGTAATCCAGTTTTTGAATGACCAAAAGCGAGAAGTAAACGCTCTCCTAAATCACTTGCTAAATCCAATAATTCATTTTTATACCAATCGATTGTAAAGCCAAATTGAGGATCAGTCGCGAATAAATGTGCGGATAACTATAATTTAGATGCGTTATATATTTAACATTACGAATTCAATGATTAATTCTATAATGACAAATACATTACCAAAGAACCTAGAGCTCGAATATTAAGTTCAAAAACTTGAACCTTGTTATTAACATCAAATGAGACGTAATCAATCACTTTACGAACAGCGTTTTCAAATTTTTCTTTATCGCCTAAAACCTTAATATAAAAATACAATCAATTAGAACTTGTGTCGAAGGATTTTTAACCCTTGGAGATATGGTTTTAATTCAGCGAGTTCGGATAACTTTTGACGTGCAGAATAGATTATATTACTTCTGATTTACTTACCACAAAAGTGTCTAAAGAATCAACTAGTGTCAAAGAATAATCACCTAATACATCATTGATCATTATATTATTACTATAAATAGTAAATAAAGTAACATTTAAAAATCGTGTGATAATTAGGCTGCTAAGTTATGTTTACAATATGAATGTGCTCAGATTATATATGATTCCGGATTGGTCATTGTCAGCACTCTTTTTTCTTAGAAGAGGGAGACCTTTTATTCATCATTTCATTTTTTAATGTAGTAATCAAAATACTAAACATAAAAAATGAATACTTGCGGATTTTGTTTATCACTGCCACGGCCAATACATTGAATTGGATTAAGCTGAAAAACAATATTATAAACTATTATGAATCCTTCTTATAAGCGATCGGTGAACATTTAGGAAACTTGTAAATAACGCGAAAAAGAATACCTCATCATCTGGAAACGCGTGTTTCATGTAATTATCAAATCCATGATAAAACATTTCCTAAGTAGAACAGATTATTCGTATTTAGTTATTCATAATACGACAATAAAGCCCTTTTTTTTATTGATACATCTTTACTTCCTTTTTCTAGAAGTTCAAATAAAATGGATATATGTACCTTAGCTTCCCGCCTATCAATAACGAAAGAAAAAGATGTATGTTTTTGGACTTTGCATAAAATAACTATATATTTATTTCGTTCCTAACTTTATAAAGGTATCAATATTTTTATTGTGTATATACCTGAGTTCTAAAAGACGTCTCTCCGGCATCCCTTGTGTCATGCATAGAGTATAAGAGCATAATATTATAGCTAATAGGAAAAAGTGCTTGCAAGACACTGACTTTCCATCTATTAAAGAGACAGGATACATTTTCTCGGTTTTGATGATGAGGTTGAGTAAACAACCAAGCTTTAAGCATTGACAATTGTGACGTCACGGATAATAATGTTACACGAATTATAAAACCTAATTTAGTGATTCATCTAATTTACCTCGAAAACTTTGCTTCTTCTCGATTACAAGTAATCTTGCTTTATACAAAATGGGAGGACATTATGTTATTATGGGTAGAAAAGTTCTAAATGAATACGTAAGTCAATATCAGGGATTCCATTGCTTATTTTTTATTTTAATTATTGTTCTTGAGGCTATTGAAATGCTGAATTAAAAAAATAAAAAGGCCACAGTTTGGGTCAAAAGAGATATATAAACTTCAAATTGCTTGCGATTATCTTTTTAGTTAACACTCGCCACTTGGACTACTTTTGGACTTGGCGTCTTCGCTGCAACACGCTCTTCTTCAAAAAAAGCTGGCTCAACTGTACCTATCGTTGCGTCCTCACCCGATGAAGAAGTATTCATCAAGGAATTCTTGAAAGCTGCCGAGGCTGAAGAAAATAATGCAAATGCTCATTAAAGTAATAATTATATAGATATATTTATTAATGCAATAATTGCGAGGGCGGATCTAAAGTCACATTTACAAAAAAAAAGCTAACTAAAATTTTATATTTGAGAAAACTAGATTCCAATTATTATCCCTTGCCCATACGATTTCCTACAGTGTTAAAGAATTTATATAAATAAAAGCGCATCAATTATTCAAAATCACTTTTACGGTCGCTTACCCCAACCGCGTGGATTTGCATCTTTAAATTCATCCATTTCGCGGGCTTTATACGTCGCTGCGTCTATTGCACTTTCATCATTATCATCAATTTCTTTTTTTTCTGGTATTTTGCTAAGTAGTAATCCAAATAAAGAAAACCTTAAATTAGCAAGAGAATGTGAACTTCTTAGAGAGGATTTACTTACCCTCCTCCACTTATTATATTGCCTCTTTCCATTTCCTGTTGAAGATATTCATCAACTGTCATTGTGGGTAATCGCCAACCAGGTCGAAATACTTCTTTTTGTATTGCTTCTCGTTTATTGGTAATTATGAATGGCTGAAGTGGCTAACCTCACAACAATTAAAATTAATATAGGCAATATTTTGATTTTAAAATCTAATGATGTCTACTAATTAGCGAGATTTTTACCTACCCGACCTTCCTTGGACAACAAAGGACCGTTGGGATTTCTTAATCGTGAATCAGCTTTATACAATTCGTCCGTCTTTTTTTGTTCAATACCCTGATTTAAAGTCATCCGCATTTTTTCGAGCAATTCTGTTTCTTGTTTTATTGAGGCCAATTCATCAAGAGATTTTTGAATAAATAATTCTACAAGTTTAAGGACATGTTTGCGCTTTATGTTCTCATCGATTCTCTCTCCCAAAGTTTCAAACTGTTGTTCTAATTCCTAAAAGAAAATATAATGGAAGCACACTATTAACAATTTAAAGAAGATAAGGAGATTAAACACAAGGACTACTTACTTTTATTTCCTTTTCTAGTGCAATTTTTCGCTTGTAACGAGCAATCTTGATTTCACGTGTCTTTGCTGCGTTTTTTGTGAGATCGTTACTTGCTTGCTCCATATAATCCCTATCCTAACAAATTTTATTAGCTTAATGTTAAACTGACAAAGAAACAAGCTCAAATGAAATACCTCTTTTGTTAAGATCTCATGCAATTCAACATTTCGAAGGAATTGCTCATGATATTGCTGCAAACAAAACAGCAATCAATTAAATCAGAAATTACCACCAAAAATACTTTTCGCATTGCATACCCTTGCTCTTTTCAATATATCAAGTCTTTCACCCTCAATCAATTTAGAAGTAAGATTTCCAAGATACGCTTCCACTAATAAAAATCTATTAAGAAAACACAATCAATGGTTATTTGCGGTTTTCCAAATCTTATAGTTTGATTCCAAAGGCTTTCCTAAGGTCAGTAGTATTAATATCATCAATAGTTTCATTCGCGCTAAATATGCTAAGGTTTTCCACTAAGAAAGCACTTTTTGAAAAGCATTCTAAGGCGCGGCGAACATCTTCCTATTTGATAGAATAAAATTATTGTCAAGGATAGAACTTTGAAATACAAAACATGTAAAAATTATTTACCTGATATTTTATATCAGAAGACGCAAGATCTGAGTTTTCAATTGAATTATATAAAGTTTCGCCAGAAGCAAACAAGCTATGGAGAGAATTATCTCCTTCTGCCATAATAGCAATATCGAAAAATTTTTGTGGCGTTATTAACGTTGCGTAGTCCAAAAATGGGGACCGTGCTGAATCAGGTGATCTTTCCGGGCCAGTGTAATTTTATAGTAGAACATTCATATGATTGGCTGATTTTTCACTAGGATCGATTAATACAAATTTGGTAATTCGATGCCAAAAAGATATATAAAAATTAATAATTGCTTCTAATAAAAATTATTCAAATTCTAACTAATCTTTATAATTTTTTTATATTAAATAAAAAATTATCTAAATTTACTTTTATATTATTTAATTATTTTATTATATAAATGAAGTATTATTTTATTAAAAAAACTAAAATAAAATTATTTTTTTTAAAAACTTCAAATTATGCAAGTAAATTATTCTAAAATATTTTAAATTTCATAAAAATTGAATTGATAATTATAAAGATATTAAGATTTAAAGTTTAGTAATTAAATTTTTTATATAATTTTTATATTAATTTTAATTAAATTTTATATAGTAAAATTTAAAAAATAATAATTTAAAAAGTTTATTATTAGTAAAATTTTTTTATAAAAGATAAATAATAAAAATTTTTATATTTAAATAAATCTCAATAAATAAGATAGAATTAAAAATTTTATTTTGAAAAAATAATTTATTAATATTTATCTGATATATTAAACTTTTTATAATAAATTATAATTATAATATATTATATTATTTTTATAATTAAAATAATATAATTATTAGCTTTATAATAATAAAAGTTATATTTATTTTAATTTAAATTTTTGTATTATTTTTTTTAATATAAATATTATATATATTACTAATTTATTTTTATTATTATTATTATAAAAGATATTGTTATCAGATTTTTTTAATAAAAACTAAATATTTTTATTAATATTATCTTATAAAAATAAGAAATAATATAAATATTTAAACTTATTATTATTATAATAAATCTTATTATATAAATAATCATAAATTAGAACTTTAATTATATTTATATTAATAAATAAAATAATAGAATAATCAAATATATTATAATATTAAAATGAATTTAACTTATATAAAAATACTAAAATTTAAAAAAAATAATATAATTAAACTTCAGTGAAAATAACATAATTATATTATTTTCACTTAGTCTAGGTTATTTCCACTTAGGTATATATCATGATAATAGAAATGCAATATCATTATCAGTATTGTGATAACAAAAATATGATACCATTATCAATGTTGTGATATATATTTTATAACATATTTTTGATAATAGAAATATGATACCATTATCAGTGTCATAATATATATTTTATGACATATTTTTGATGACAGAAATATAATACCATCATCAGTGTTATGATATATATTTTATGATACATAGATAGGTTATAACGCCCTAGCCTAGTTCTTCTATATTTTTTATTATAATTCAAATTTGATAATATTACTTATATGTCAGTTTGATATCTATAACTGATTCTCATTGCTAGAACAGACAAAAAAAAGTAAAAGTATACCTTGTGATTTATATATTATTAGTAATAATAGAATTTTTAACTATGAGTTTGCAAATAGATATAAAATTAAAATCCAACTCAGAATCATATTATTCATCTAGCTTTTTTATATAAGCTTTAAAATCCTTTTCAATCTTCTATATTATTACTGTTTTAAGATTATGTGTATATAATTATTTTAAAATAGTAATAGTAACTGTATTCATGGTAGTTATTAATTTTTATAACTTTAAGAGATTATATGACTAATTATCTTTTTAATAAGATAATATATACAAGATTTATTTCTGATAAAAATATGATTATCTTCTTAATAAGATAATTTATATATGTTTTTCTTATAATAAAATATGATTATCTTTTCAATAAGATAATATATGTGAATTTACTTCTAATAAAATATGATTATCTTCTCAATAAGATAATATATATGAATTTACTTCTAATAAAATACTCTCTTAATAGAGCAAGAAGAAAATAAGATAAGATATAAGATAAAATATGTGTGTTTATTAAAGAAAAAT